CTTGGGAGTTGCATGCATAATCTCATGTGTATGATATTATGAGTCGCAGACTTGCAGTACGTGCACATGCATAGACTCAGTCAGTATGTCCGTTTTGAATTCAACCGGATCCGGCCATCCGACGGCGGATCTGGCTCGGGGTTTAACTCGCGGCCGCACTGCGCGTTAATGACATTAGTCCGCGCGACCCGCGCGCGTATAGCTACCGCGGGATCTCCGCGAGGGGCTCGGAAAGCTAGTGCCGTTACATAACGGCTGCGACTCGTCCTTGCCGGCCAGGTCAATACTCGACCAGTCTCCGTTTCCCTTTTGGCGCCCGCTCAAAAGCCCTGCTTTCTCTTCGTTGGCAATTGGCGGCCCCTGAGGGCAAAACGGCGTTCTGTTGGCGCTTGTTCCCAATTCTGGAACACTCCTAGTACCGTCTGGACTTGGCTCCTCGACGTCTTCTTCGCTCCACTCAAAGGCCTCCTCGGCCGTTTGGCAGAGCGTCCGCCGCCGCTTAAACCCTTTCCGCGGCACCTCGCTTCGGACACTCGTGGAACCCTTTGCGGGAAAGTTATCGCCCACAGTGCCACTCACGCGAGTTGTCTGAGCGTGAGGCTGAGTGGCAACAACTTGTGGCTGCGCCTCAACTGGCTCGGCCCGGTCTGAGCTTTTCAAGCCCGTCGTATCAATTTGTGTGCTCGGCTCTCCGGCTCCGTTGCCTCCGACCGGAAAATGGCGCTTGTTCGCGCCCTCTAGTTGAGCACCTCCGCTGTCAAGGATGCCCACGGGAGGTGCAGCTGCCGCTGAGTGCAGCGTTGACGGTTTATTTCTCGCCATTAAATCTGACGCCTCGTGAAGTGGTTCCAAATCAGGAAGTTGAGAATCTTGAGCTTACGATACTCTGCAGCTTCATTGTTATGCTCCTCGTCATGAGCGCTAGTTGACGAACTTTGCAGGGCACCTGGTTCATGGCCGCGCAAAAGTCCCAGCGCGCTGGTGATGCATGCAGCCCCCTCGAGAACCTTCGAAGGAGATCAACTTCATCCCTTGCTCCTTGAATCAGCGCCTTAGGCTGTCAGACCCAAGAAGATGAGCGCACTTCTCAATGAGCGCACTTCTCAAACGGTATCCTTCGTCCTTATGTCTGGTGCCATTGCTGCGCCTAGTGGTGCTCTATGCATTCAAACTTAGCTACATGGTCTTCAGCAATTTGTCTGCATTGTCAGCAGAATCAAGCTGATCACGCGAGCCTGCGCTGCAGGAGATTGCTGTGTTTCTCGACTGAAGCCTGTCTTTCGACGATTGAAATCATGCCGCGCCCGCACCAACCATGACGCTTAAACTAACCCAAGGTGGTTACGTCACTATTTCTGCTGCTTACTGTTGGCCTGTTTCAACACTTGTGCCCTACGCGGCTTTTTCAGGCCCGTCGGAATTGGCGGGTACTCAGATATCGTAAGTTCGCTTGTTCCATGCAATGCGGTCGCCACTGGGTCTTGTTAGTGTCAGAAGTTTAGGCTGGTTTATGCGATCAGAAGTTTCGAAGTTTGCGTTCGTCAAGCTCTGATTGAGCGCAGACCACATTTAGGGTGAGCTTCTACGCAGCTTGTGCGTTGACTGAGCTGGTAGCAGTGCATTAGTATGTCCCACCCTTCGCTAGAATGGTCAAGAAACTCCAGGGACATGCGCCATGGCGGGTCATCAGAGGCTTTAAGCACCGTTCTGGCCGACTTCAGAAGTAGTCAGCTAATGCGTTTGTTGTTACAACCAATGAAATTGCTTGTCACACCTTTTAGCTAAGGTGTGACAGAGAGCAGATCCGTCTTGGGAGGAAAGACTCGCCCGTTTTATACATGGCTTGAGACGAAGCAAGAGATGGATAGAGCTGGGAGCCTTTCTGAACAGGCGGAGCAGCAGGTTGAACAGTACGCGTGGAAGCTATGTTCAGACAATTTCAAGAAGGTCGACGAAGTCCGCATGAAGGTGGAACATCATGGGTACGAGGCTCATCTCGCTAATAGCTCCTCCGCCAGGCTTCAATACTCTAGGCTCTTACAAGAGCTTCTGGCGTATAGGCGGGGTGCCGTTATAGATAAGCCTGGGATCAGATGCTCAAAAGCTCTTCCAAGTAGATTCTCTGCAGTTCCAATCGGTCCTTGCTCTGGCAGAATTGACCAAACACCAGGCGGTGGCAATGTTCTGTCTGAAGAATGAGAAGATTGGTTGCGTGCTTCCCAGAGCACTCACAGCGGCTTTCCTCCTATCCATGGCGGGATTTCTGACCAGGGCGTTCGCAAGGGAGACTGCCAGGAAGTCTGGCTAATTTACCATGATTCTTCAGGGGCCTCGTCAACTTTGTGCGGGTCTCAAGACGCTTCCGCAAAATTCTGCAGGAGTTTGGAGAAGTTTTCTTCCCAGCCCTTGAGTTTTTCCTAAAAAGCCCAGTCTGCGGAAGCGCGTCGGCGATACCTTGGTGTACGTCGTTCCTCTGATGCACACTTTTGTTCTTTGCGAGGACACTCAGCAGTGGGCTATTGATCAAGGAGTGATTAGAAACCAACTAGCGATGCACAGGAAGTCGCTGCGGCTCGTTAACAGCACGTTTGAAGAGGAAGGAGACCAGGCGGCCGTTCTGAGACGAATGAAGACGGAGGACGATATTCGAAACCTACATTTAAAAGAGCGTTGGTTGCTTGATGTCTGAGGAGAAGATAACGCAGTCGAAGAAGCCACGAAGTACGAGCGCGTGGCGAAAGGAATACATGAAAGGATGCAAGAAGGATCTTATTACTGATTTTCAAATGAAGCCTTCCGCAAGTGCTTGTTTGGGCCGAGGGAATGCTACAAGCACTGCTTCGAATCTTGACCTGAAGAAGTCCCCCAAGTCAGTGACCTCCTTGGCAGCCTGGGTTAGCAGACGCAGGGAGACACCAGTTGTGTGCTCCTGGGAGAAGTGCGAGAAGGGGTCGGTGATCGACGCGGGAAGGGCCTTCAGCAAGTGAGCAGTTGGCGCACTTCAGGAAGTGCGCAAACTGCTCACTCGCGTACTACTGCAGGTAAGCAGGCATGCTCTTAAGTCGGTAGTACGTAAGCGCATAGGTTCAGGAAGTACTCAATCTTTAGACATGGACTGCCAGATTGACAGTCTCAATATCACAACTCGTGGTGGAAACTTTGATAAAATGAGACGGCCTAGATCGTCTCCCTGATCCTATCACAAAGAAAGACTTTTACCTTTGAAACTCAAGCGAAGACAACGTTCTAGCAGGACGAATCCAATGAGCAAGACCCTACCTGTGCCATTAGCGTAATGTCTTCCGGTTGACGCACGTGCTGAGCATCTTTGGTCTCATTGAGACCTTGAAGCAATTCTGAGGTCCTCGAAGTTGTGGTGAGTCTAGGAAGCAGCCTCAACGAGCTTAAAAAATTCCCAAGCTGAGACGGTCGTCTTCTTTCTTCCTGAACTTCGATAGAATAACATGCAGCGACCATTCGGGTACTAATCTGGAAGTGAATCGTTGCTTTCGCTCTCGTCTTGAAAGTTTCAGCCTCTTTGATATTCATTCAGGTAGATCTAAATGACTCTGTGCGGAAACCCAGCTTGGCTGAGCTCAAGTTCGATAGGATTCTGGTGGCGCTACGTCGCTTTCTTTTGAGAGATTGAAATCGATCTTGGACAATCATAAGACTGCCTGAACGTGATGAACCTGTGTTGCTGCAGCAAGGATCACCGAAAGAAGCACTAGCCAAACCACAAGCAGCTCGCGTCGTCGAAGATTGACTGACCAACCTCCCGAGATGTAGGCTTCCCTGTCGAAAAACGGATGGGAACCGTCCTAGACTACAAGAGTAGATGTAATCTTGTGATCGGCATTAACTGGGTAGGTTGGAGAGCCACGAGCTATCATTGATAATGTCATAAAGTGGCCTCACTTGGTCATCTTAGCGGATCGTTGGTTCGAGGAGATTAATCTGCAACTTCCGGCGAGGGACAGTGGACAGGTCCGCCCGTAACTTTGCCCGGTTGCTTGATGGAAAAGTGCTCGGGACTTTGGCCAAGATTCGCTCGAAGCGATAAGGCCAGTCAGAAGCTGCCAAGTGTCTAGGCCCGAAACATGGTGTTGGAGCCTCGGGAGGGCGGCGGTTGCCCAAGCTGCGCACTGAGGATGTATTGTTCTACCGGCA